AGATAAGTTCGGAGAGGATGTACTGGAAGAAGAAAATGAAGATGTTTTGCTGGATGCAGGAGAAACAGATGGAATAGCAGCAAGGGAGCACATGGCACAAACATATTTTAGTTGACTAGTTTAAAAGAAAAAATGAATGGGGTTGTTCAATGATTTCAACTATCCTCTCAAGTAACTGTACTTGTAGTTCGAGTTTTCTTTTCTTCAACTCTAGATTGTGGTTCTCAAACAACATTTTTTCTTGTTCCAATTGAAGAATCTCAACATGAAGTTGTTTAACATCATTTTTCATCTCTCCTTGAGTCTTTGGTCGTTTCCTTTTGAATGTTCTTGATTCTTCGCCTGTGAATTAAGTTCAATACAATGCACAAATAGATTATATAAGCTGTGAATACAACAATGGATATAAACATAATTAAATGCTCACATTGTGATAGTGTGGATGTTGTTGGTATTGGAGTCTTGCTTAATTCTATTTCCTCACCACCCTCATCTTCTTCGTCAGTTTCGACCAAAGTGCTCAAGTGAGATGAATTACTCTCTTTCTCTGCAAAACGTTAAAAAAACATAGCACAATGAAAAGATGAAAACGTATTACCTTTTTTGTTTTACTGTATATTTTTCCATTATGCAAACAAATCATCAAAACTTAAATCAATACAATCGTTTCATTAAGCATATAAAATTCATATTTCGTATTTTGTATTTATAGCATCGTATTCTTTGTAAAACAACTTTGGCAATACTCCGTCGTGAACACATATTCGGTTATTTCAAGCCGGCCATTTTATTTCGGGATGGGTTGGTTGGTATAAATTATATTGTTATGTTTAGCGTAATGTCGGGAAAATTTAAAATCCCTTGTGTTGTATTAAAACGTAAACAAAAGACAATAACAAAGTAGCATCTTGCTTCTGCTTATTCTTTTACGCAGAATTCTTCTATGCATTTCAAAGAATGAGATTTTAAAGATCATAATTACCTACAAATGTACCACCAGACTCGAAGCCTCCTTGAATACATGAGAATGAAGGTTCATCTCCCAAAATATTTATGATTTTCTCCGTTGTTAAAGAAGGCGGTTTTGTAGCAGGACCTCCCCTGTTTTTCTTTGCGAACTCATTATACCAGCATTGGTTTTTTTGGCAATCTATGCCAGGTTTCTTCATTTTTCACGCACTTCCTTTGGCGTGCGATTTTCAAACCCCAAGCTGTTTATTTGCGAGGTTATCTTCTCCCACAACTCTTGTTTTTTAGCGTTATACCAGCATTGGTTTTTTTGGCAATCTATGCCAGGTTTCTCCATTTTTCACGCACTTCCTTTGGCGTGCGATTTTCAAACCCCAAGCTGGTTAATTGCGTTTTTTGTTATACTACTTGAAAATTGCCCTCGTATTGCATTCAAATTTTTCTCCACAAGCTCAACAAGAAGAGAGCATTCTGCAGAGCTAAAATTTTGTTTTCTTTTTTTACTTTTATTTGAGGACTCAGCTGTGATTAATAGGGAAGACATCTTGGATTGAAATGATATAATACATCTACCAATGATAACAGTTACACAATAAATGCATGATTATGATGTAACAGAGAAGAGATGTGAGTCATTTTAAAACAACCACAGAGTAATCACCCATGAATTTTATAAAAACTTCATTATGCAATATCAATATCACAATGCAGAACAATATATTGTCTTTAAATGTACATTAAGCAATTTTCAAGAGACAGTTAGCTGAACCATGAGAATGAAATAGCCGAAAAGAAAAAGGTTAAATATTTTTGAGAACAGATTTTAAATTAAATAAGTTAAGAGGAAATATTCTATGTACCTGGGACACTCAAAATCTATAATAAACAAAATGGCATGAGTTTAACAAGATAGAAATGACAATGAAGACGAAATGAATGCAATATTTATTCTATATCCCTATGTTACATTTTAATGACAGAGGAAAGATATGTCATAACAGTCGTGAGATTACATTTTAACTATGATGACGTTTAAGAAATGTTTGCTAACAAGTCTATCAATAAAAAGTCTATGACTGTCTTCTTTTGCTCATACAGTCATACCTGTGACTAAATGTCGTGTCATAACAACATTTCTTTCAATGATTAGCAAAGCAATATTCTCTTTTATACAGTATTTCTGATAGTGTCACCAAGATGCAAAAAGTAGGAAACAAATAGAACTCCCAAGCTTTAGACAAAAAGAGGCTAATAAATCACAAAGCCATGAATAAAAATTCCATAGCTAAGGCTCATTAACAAATATACCCAATAGTTTTATAACTCAGTTTTTGAAAGGTAGAATTAAGAACAAAGAAGTATTTTGTGTATAGCTGTGAATATAACATGTCACAAGCCGATAAAGACAGTTGCTGGATTACATGGCTACTAACTATGACAACTCAAAAAAATGTTTTCTAATAATAAAAAAGTCCATCACTGTCATCTTTTACAAATATGTGTGACTTATGTCTGTACAAACACATTTCTTTCAAGCATGTTATAAAGAGAAACGAAACGACCCTTTTCCTTTCTTACCCTCAATCTCTCAGTTTTAAATTCTGTAAAAGCGAGGCCATTCAATTATTTAAATCCTTGCACATAGAACACAATATGAATCAATTTGAGAAGAGTTCATTGTTTCGTTTGCCCAAGTCCGTTATATATAATTGTTACATGAAAGAAAGCAGTCCTTGCCGAGACTCATATCATTCGACAACATCGTACTGTATTACACAGAAGATAAGGGTCGATTTTCTTGAGAAAAGTCCAACGTATATGCTACAATTTAATCCGGTTACCATGTCATCGTGAAACGTTTATTAAATTTTATTTTCGTAAAAACGACAATAGTTTGCCATATTTTAAGATTTTTACAAAAGCCAAGAGATTTTTCTTGATTTTGAAGTCATTTTATAGTTCACTTGCCCGCCATTACAAATCGTAAATTGATTAAACTTTATGTCATTTAACGTAAACAACACTCCACGCAATTTCCACGCAAGTTAACTAGGCAGTTACTTAACTATCCGACAAACTACGTTTTGTGCAACGCAGTTAAGTCGAGCAGTTAAGTTACTACAGTTAAGGAGTTAACTACGGTAGTTAGCGCTAACTATAGTTAAAGTTAACTACGTTTTTATACAACCGGCCCCTGGAGGGGAAACGTCAACCAAATTACTATAAATTTTTAGCGCGCGGCCGCGTGGTCAAAAACATGGCGGATTTTGGTTGTCAAAGTCAGCGGAGAGACGCTGGCTCATAAAATAAAATTTTTATCGCCCACCCGGATTTGACAACCACTTTATTGCGATTACAATAGTGATTACAATTGCAATAACATTGGCGATATACTATACCTTTCTTTTCGAAACTTATTGTTCAATTTTATCCGCAAATATGCCTATAACTTGTGTGGTGTATGGTTGTGGAAATAGTACAAGAAATAGAAACTTTTCATGGCACCGGTAGGCAAAATAATATTATTTATTGCTCAAAAAAAAGCACTTCGTTTTTGTAATTTTGTCGTTTGATGGCGTGATACCATTTCGTTTGTAGTTTTTGTAATTTTTTTAAAGCATAATCTTTAATTTAAATTGTATTTATCTCAAATTTTCTGGTCACTATAGCTTTCCAGATGCAGCAAAACACCCGCATCTTTTGGAGATGTGGGTGTCTAGCATTAAGCAAAACTCTCGAATTATGAATGAGTTTGGCCCAAAGAAATGGAGTCGGATTTGTTCAGAACATTTTTCTGACCATATGAAGGAAACAGTCGGGAATAGAGTTGTGTCAACTATATTCAAAAATGCTGTGGTATGTATTATACAATAGAAGTATCTAAATTTAAAATGTGTCCTTAAAGCTTTTTGTTTTTGCACAATTTGACAGAATATAGACTACAGTGATGAATGGGCTAAAGGTTTACTAGATGCTGCTAGTTATATAGAAACACAACTCAATATTCCTGTGAATGAAGTATGTATTGGAAAATCTATTGTAAGTGAGGGGGTTGAATTTGAAAAAAGCCTGGTGCCCATGCCAGATTTAGTCATGGATGTTAATCAAATAAATTTGACCCAGGATGACTGTACTATTGAACAATATGATAATCAGGTGATCAGTTTCAACTAATTATTGCATGATCATACATACAGTTGTCAATCTCCTTATAGACTGAAGCGTCAGTTAGAGGAGGTCATTGAGAAAGCTGAGTCACTTAAGAAAAAACTTAAGAACAGCAGGATGCAAAATGGTAGACTGAGAATGAAAGTCAATGATATGTCTTCTGTTGTTCCAAGTTTAACAGAAGAAGGTTTTGTTAATGACGATCAGGCTGAAAGTCTTGACAATATCCTTTCAGGAGTGTCAAGGGATATATTTAATAGTTTAACACATGAAGATAAAACACGTGTTTCCTACCCTCCTGAGCTAAGATCATTTGCTCTTACATTGAAATTTTATTCCAGGAAAGCTTATGACTATGTACGTGAAAAGTTTAATTTAGCATTGCCTCATCCAAGAACAATCCTCACTTGGTATAATCCAATTGATGGTGATCCAGGATTCACTCGAGATGCATTTGTTGCACTGAAATTTAAGGCTGAAGAAGCTAAAAAGGAAGGAGAATACCTTCTATGTGCCTTAATGTTGGATGAAATGGCAATTCGCAAACATGTTGAGTTTGATGGAAACAAAGTCTTTGGCTTTGTTGACATGGGAACTGGCATAAATGATGATGACTCACTGTCTGAAGCAACAGAAGCCTTAGTATATATGGCTGTTGCTCTTGATTCTTCGTGGAAAGTTCATGTTGGTTACTTTCTAACTGATGGCATTCCTGGACAGATGAAAGCTGACCTGTCTAGAGAATGTATTGCCAGACTATTACAATTTATCTTTTTATATTTTTACATACTTATTTTAATATATATTGGATTCATTTCTACCCTGGCAAGTTCATTTTCTTTATCAATTTCCTTTGATTGTACTTGATACAACTGCTTTAAGAGCGCCCTGTTATAATAAGATATAGACCAACATTGACACAACATTTAATACATACATATTATTATATGGATTGCTTTTACCTTTTTGCAGAAATTCACAATTTTCACTAAATAGTTGTATACAGACAAGCAGTATATCGCATGTAAATCTTATTCACTTAATAAATCTAAAAAAAATTCAAGTTTAGAGTAAGTTTATTGGTTTACTTGAGGCTAATATCCGTTCTAGTCACCTGTTTTTGCATTATACTTCACTACAGTGCTCGCACTCAAAGTAAGTTATATCGTGAGAACAATGGTTATATTTAATGAAACAGAGACTTCTTCGTGGTGACAAACTTAAAGATGGATTTCAAAATAGCAAATACCATGGTGAATGGTGATAATAACAATGCAATAGTTCTTAAAAGAACTGTTTTAACCAGAACACTAACCCAACAATTCAAAGTAACCGTTATTTACAGCTAGAAAGAGACACTATACATTTCGGCAGACAACTCGTCTACTATGCATTTTCGGCAGACTACTTCTCGAGTAGTCTGCCAAAATGCATATTGTCTCTTTCTAGCTGTAAATAACGGTTCCTTTGAATTGTTGAGTTAGTGTTCTGGTTAAAACAGTTCTTTTAAGAACTATTACATTGTTATTATCACCATTCACCATGGTATTTGCTATTTTGAAATCCATCTTTAAATGGTTTTATTTTATAAAAACATCTCATGAGCCGTTTGATAATAGGTATTTGCCCAAATTTTAAATTATGACCAATCAATTTAATCAAGAAAGGCAGTTAAATAAAAATATTTACCAACATTTGTAGTTAAGGTGAGTATTGGTGTTTTTAAAAAACGTTAAATGTTGACATCTTTGATTTTCGCAGGTTTTAATCACCAGCTATATAACAGACACGATTACATCTCAAATTTAAAACAACTTTACTAATTTCTATAAAAAATATTGAAAGTTTCTTACCTTGAATTTTATTCGTAATATCAATCTACATGTGCCGTGATAATTCAACGCCATGTTTTCGTAAAAACATATAAATCAGGAGGGAGTGAATATTGAAAAAAAATTTTAAAGTGTAAGTTTTGACAACCAAAATCCGTCATTACCGCCATGTTTTTGACCACGGGGTCCAGGCCATTGAGTTCTATAATAACTGGAGCGGCTAACTTTACTGGGGCGAGGATGCCAAAAAAATGGCGGCCAAAGGACGTATTTCCGCTGAGATGATCGCTTTGCAGAAAAATAATATTCTCGACCTCCCCCTGGTGTCAAAAACAAACACGATATCACAGAATATGGATATCGTTAGTTTCATATTCTGTGACGATATCTTTTTTGGGATTTCTTTTATAATGCCAAAACTTCAATCTTTCAATTGTTGGATGTTGTAGTTTCCACAAAAAGGGACATATCGCATATCAGACAATAAATCAATTATCTTTACAGCATTGTCATTTTTTTAAGACTCTGCCTGGTCAATAACATCTTCCAGTCATCTTTACTCCTTGGTCTTCCCTCAATGTTGTCAGCAAATAGAACATAACAAGCTCTGCTCCAAATCATAGGTACTGTTGGGCCGATCATTTCTTTTTGATACTTACTCACAGAGCAAAATATGTGCAGGGTCTTTTTTGCTTTAGGGAAACTTTTTTGCAAATAGATGGGTAAATTTACGATTTCATGCATTAACAAATGACAGAAAAGTATGCAGAATTTTATAAACAAAAACAGGAAAACATCAGTATATTTGGCGTTCAAGTCAGTCTTAAAAAATACGATCTTTAATATGTATTTTATGCCTTTTCAAGTGAATGTATAATTGCTTTTCAATCGTTGACGGATCAAGAAAACAAGCAACTATCTTACCTGTGAGAAGCGATATGTCCCTTTTTGTGGAAACTACAACATCCAACAATTGAAAGATTGAAGTTTTGGCATTATAAAAGAAATCCCCAAAAAGATGTCGTCACAGAATATGGAACTAACGATATCCATATTCTGTGATATCGTGCTTGTTTTTGAAAAATTCTTTATAATTGACTATAGACACCAGGGGGAAGTCGAGAATATTATTTTTCAGCAAAGCGATCATTTCAGCGGAAATACGTCCTTTGGCCGCCATTTTTTTGGCATCCTCGCCCCAGTAAAGTTAGCCGCTCTAGTTATTATAGAACTCAATGGCGCCCGCCTGCTCAAAAACATGGCGGATTTTGGTTTTCAAAGTCAGCGGAAAGACGCGGGCTCATAAAATAAAATTTTTTTCGCCCACCCAGATTTGACAACCACAATTGCGATTATATAAAATATCAATGCCAAGCACAAAAACTTTTAGAAATTTTATCTTTAACACATGCTGCAAACCTGTTTGGTATACGGATGCTGAATTAATGCCAGAAAAGGAAACATTTCATGACACCGGTAAGCAACGTAAGATTGTTTTAAAGTAAATGGTTTGAACCCGGAACATTTTTGACTCGGAAGATGACTACCGCTAAGGTTGTCGAAACGTCAGTCAACAACAACAAAAACAGTCCTTCTCGGGAATATACCAACCTGGACGATCTACTTTTACAAACATGTAAGATTGTTTACTATTTAAAGTGTTCAGTGTTTTGTTTTAAGTCAATACTTGAAGTGTGATGGTATATATTTTGTGAATGTTTTTATTCCTAAGTTTTAATTTAAGTTATGTTTATCCAGTCTTATTTGTTCTTTACTTAATCGCTTGCTAGACGAGGCAAAGCAACCAATTCTTATCGAGATATGCATATCTTAAAACTCCTTGTTTCAACTGAGTTTACCTTCAAGATATGGAGGATTTTTTCATGATATTTTTCTGAAAATATGAAGCAAATATTAACAACAGAGCTGTATTGAAATCAAATGCAGTGCAGGATTAATTAATTAACTCTTTGGTACATGTCGTACAATAAAAAATACCTGTATTAAACAGCTAGCCTGGACAATTTGACAGATTATGGACAATTATGATGATGGTGTGTAAAGGTTTGCTTTATGCTAAATGTTTTATAAATGTCATCTGGTGTTTCTGTAAATTAATTGTTTGTTATACAGTGTAGTAAACAGGTTAGTACAGCAAAATCAAGATAAAAACTACTTTGTTCAATAATGTGCCAAATTTTGCTCCTACCTTGAAATATTTGCTCAAGAAAAGCTTATGATGACATGCATGAAACATTAATAATAGTAATGCTTCATCTGACAAAATCCATACGCTTTCAATTCCAGGTGATTGAAAATTCACATAAGATGCATTGGTTGCAATGAAGTTGAATGTAGAAGAAGCAAAAATTGATGTCAAAGAATTTTTATGTCTTTTGAAGAATTACAATATCATTTAAAAGAATAAGAGTAGCAATCTACTAAAAGAAGCAACCTCTGCCTTCAACATGAGACTTTTCCAATTATGTATAGTTTCTTTGTACAAAATATTTTTTTAGATAAACTTGATTTCTAAGTCATTCACTGATAAAAATTCAAAAAAAAAATTCAAAGGCATAATGTAAAATTCAAAAGTTTGTCAAGTTGTTTGAACTTAGAAAAAATTAGTATAGGTAACTGTAATTTGTAAGGACACAAGAGAAAAGTAGTGAAAAGCATTTTTGAGAGTTAATAAGTTCTTGACATACATTACACAAGGCCATAATATTATAAATAATGTCTGTACAATAACAATTATACAACATGCTAAATATCTTCACCTACATTATAATTATTTAAACAGGTTTGCCTTCATGCAGCAATAAGAAAAGTGTTATGTAAGAGAAACCAATGCACTTTAATTTAAGAAATCGTATTTTCAATGGGAAATTAATGTAGATCTGTTCAGTAGATCCATGGTTGTCAATGACAATCCAGTTTCTAATATCTTGAGTGGTCATTTTTCTATTCATGATCACTCATATTGTCTTAAGTCTCCCAGTAGACTGAAAAGACAATTGGAAGATGTTATAGACCGGGCAGAGTCTTATAAAAAGAGGTTAAAAGTGTCTAATAAAGAAAAAAGTAGACTGAAAAAGAAGGTAAATGATTTATTGTCAATCATTGATTGCCTTAAAGATGATAAAATGATCAGCTCTGATCAAGCTGAACTTCTTCATTCTTCACTATCTGGGGTTCCTGAAGATATTTTGAGTCGTTTAGTGGAAAACACTCAGGGTAAAAAAGGTGCTCAATACCCCCCAGAATTGCAAGCTTTTGCATTAACTTTGAAATTTTACTTGCCTAAGGCTTATGATTATGTTCGTGAGAAGCTTAATTTAGCCTTACCTCATCCAAGAGTAATTCGATCTTGGTATAATTCCATGGATGGTGACCCTTGTTTCACCAAGGATGCCTTGAATGCTTTGATAGTGAAGGTTCAAGAATCAAAGAAAGATGGCAAGGAAGTCTTATGTGCATTGATGCTGGATGAAATATCAATCCACAAACACGTAGAATGGGATGGTCAAAATATTTGTGGTTATGTTGACCTTGGTACTGAGATTGATGATGATTCACTCCCTGAAGCAACATAAGTTTTGGTATACATGCCTGTTGCTCTAGATTCATCTTGGAAAGTACCAGTTGGTTACTTCTTGGTAGATGGCCTCACTGCAGAAGTAAAAGCAAATCTAACCAAGGAGTGTTTGATGCAGTTGCATGATGTTGATGTTAAAGTTGGAAGTTTAACGTGTGATGGTCCATCCACATATCTTGCAATGTTGAAGTTGCTTGGAGTGAAACTTTCACTTAATGACTTCCAAGAATATTTTTTACATCCATTTGATTTAATGTTGAGAATTCATGCATTTTTAGATCCTTGTCATATGATCAAGCTTGTCAGAGGAGCATTTTCTGAATTGAGAACTCTGAAGGATGAAAAAGATGTTTTGTTAAGATGGCAATATTTAGTTGAGCTAGAAATACTGCAAGCCTCAGAGGGCTTGTGACTTGCCAAAAAAAAAGAAAGCTCGCATCAA